GTGTGTATGGAAAAGGAAAAGAGTCACTTTGCTGTTTTGTTAACTATCTCCTCGCCTTACAAACGCTTTGCTTTTAATCTTACCTGACTCAATCCCAGTCTATAGCTTCTTTTGTCCAGTTCAAGGTGATCCAGCAGTGTTTCTACGGCCTAAAGACAAAGAAAATCAGATAAAGCGAGCTCTGTCGGTCATGCTGAAACACCGACGTTCGTAGTAGGCACTGTCAATCACAATAACAAGCAGCAATTAAATAGCGCACCGCGTGAACAAACGACTTAAAACTGAAGGGGGAAACCGAAATTATTGTGTTATTTTTAGGCCACCGAATACCCTCTCCTCTTTTGCGTTTTCACAACATATGTCTTGCTGTCAGAAACACTCAAGGTAGACGTTATTTTACTCAAGTAACAAAGATTCATTCTTTTTTTTAAGGGGCCATTTTGCCCTGCTTCCACGATCATGAACAAATGCATTTAATAAGTAACAATAGCCACAGTCATCGTCTAAAAAATGAACACTCATAACAAAAGATACTTGGTTTCAATATTTGAATAAATAACTTAGAGTAAATGAGCGTAAAATTATGTTGCCTATCGAAAACTTTAATGAACTTCGAGTTCTAGTTCTCCCCCAAGGGAAAACAACTTCGTATGAGTAGGAGAGACTATGCCTCGACTACGGAACAAAGCAAAAGTTCACCTACCTTTTTTTCATCCAAAACGGGGCCTGTGTTTCTGTGCTGACTCGTAGCGAGGATGTCAAAACGGCGCCTAAACTCTCCAAATGGCATATGCTCTGGAAAACCTGAGGAGGAAAAAGACTTTGAGTCACATAGGAATGAAATGTCACCGAGTTATCAAGTTGTGAATCCGCATACAACATCAACTGCGGCGAGCCGCAATTAGTCACCGGCTTCCAAAAACTTTTAGAAGAGCAAGTGTTACAGTTGCTGAATATGTACCGTATTCGAACTTCAAAACGTTGGATTTGAAAACAACGGCTTCCTTAAAGACAACATCAGTTTTGGAGGGCATGGTGAATTGAAAACTGCACAGAAAATGAGTCGTGTCGTGTTGGAGAGAAGGAATACAATATCCCTAGACACAACGGTTGGGCATCCTGCCGGCTTTTGCAAATGTGCCCTGCTACTGCATGTCTGCGGTTTTCGTCATAGTCGAATTGCTATGAATACTCAATTAGGATGCAACAAGCTTGAAATGATTGAAAATAGTCAAAACAACTTCGAAATCCATTCGCTTTCCGCCAATATTTGTCTCCGCCGGCTTCAAAGAACCATGACTTAGCTACTGATTGCGCAAATCCTGACTGCGCTCCACACAGTACAGCTTTCAACACAACTTTATGAAAAGACCTTACATATTACACTACCTCCATATAGAAAGAAGGGACTGCAAATGAACAAACAAGGCATCGGTTTTCTTTTCTTCATTTCTTTTGGTTAGGTTTCGCTTTGACAAGCTAACCCTCTAACAATTCTTAGCCCAAAGGAAGACTTCGTTTTCGTTTGTTTGATCATCGAAATTTGCATTTCAAAATGGCCTTTAATTATATTTAGTTGTGTGCATTGTTGGAGACCGTGTTCCGTTTTTCGGTAACATAAGAAAATTTCGAAATTAAGTCTCAAGAGTGTTAATAAAGGATTACGAAACCTCTTTAAAATCACGCAGCGGAGTTGGATCGACTTTCACTACCAATCTTAACATCTAAAATCTCCCTACTGCATTGCAGACACCTACCGTCATGTTTGTTCTGTGAATTTAGTGCTATATCAACATAATATTACCTCTTTACACCTCCAACTTTATTAAGACACCGCCACGTTAAAAAAGGTGAACTAATACATATTAAGAAATCATATAATGGTCACTATAAGAACAAATTAAAAGTGTCGTTGAAATAATTCATTTTTTTTGGTACAGCTCAACAGTAGAGGTACTTACGAAGATTTAGAAAAGCCTTGAAGCGACTTGCATCACAATGGCAACTTCCTGTGATGAATTAACGATTGTTTTTCTCGCTGCGTAGATTTTATACAAAGTATTGAGCCAAATTCCTCACCAATTTAGCGGTCGTTGAGATAGAACAAGCGAACTGACCGGGTATTGAATCCGTTTAACGCTGACAAACGACCCTGCCTCTTCAATGTGGCCTGACATGCCTTCCCTTCCTCTCTACGTGAAGGGTTTATCCGCTCGATAAGTGCGTGCTTGAGTGGTTAAGGCGTAGGCGACTATTTCGAGAACGATGTACATGTGAACGGAAATGGTTTTGCTAACTGCTGCTCTAATAGTAAAATTACTTAAATAACCTACGCTTACCAATAACGAAGTTAAGGTAAAGATGTGTACACATTTGAACTAGCTGAAAAGTCATTAACCAACTGCGGAACCTTGAAAAGGTAAACGTTTTTTTTTTGTTTTGTTATTTTTCTTTTGTAATAAAATTACTTACAAGTGCTTTAAGAGCGAAGAACTCATTTCCCTAATGAGAAAAAACATCGGCCACTAAAAACTTTTTTCGAAAAATCGCTCTTACAAAGATTTCGTCCTGAACAAGAAACTGAATGACCAAATGATCAACTGCTAGACCGGAAAACTTCTGTACAACACGTTTAGAGCCCTTTTAGATTGCCTGTCGTTAACCAAAACCAAAGTAACCACAACAGTCAATCAGAGGAAAAGGAAATACCACACGAGGCCAATAAGAACACAAAGTAGAGACAAGCATATCGCCTGAAGCGCAAGAAAACGCTAGAAAACACGAGTGACCACGTCGGCATTGGTTTCACAGTAGTTTTGCATTTGATGGGTTGAGAGATTGGGTGAGTTTCCTCTACCAATTGGTTACGAGAATTTGATGTTCGATTAAAGTAATATCTTGTACCTGATGAGCATGAGTATTCTCATTACCTGTTTGCTTAGGGTTTAGTATGGATGTAATAAGGAGAGGTTACATGTTAATCACTTCTAGGAATTAAAGGGTTAATAGAATTTTGCTTAATTGTCGCGCATCTCGAGCCTACAACGTAAATTACTTAAAACAGACTAACCGAGGCGGCGAGAACAGGGACCTTTCGAAACAGGTTTATAATCTCATGCCACAATCCACTCACCTTGTCTGTGTATCCTGACAGCATCTAACATTTCCGCAGACCTGAGCTGGTTTCTGACAAGCGGTACATGCAACGAGGAAACTTCTTTGGCACTGTTACTCACGGCCTCTCCATCAACACTGTCAGTCTGGACTGCGATTTCCACTGGAAGGATGCAACGCACAAAATTGACTTTGGTCTTTCGTATGGCGTCCAGAATGGTGTCCTAAGAAGAAATAATAGAATTTTACAGAAAGTTCAATTTTCAATCGTTAGCCCAAACCAATCCACGACAGAATTCATAGTGCTTCAGCGCTTCGTTCATAATTGGCCCAGAGTTGTCTCCCCACCTTCTCAACCAATATGCAAAAGCAAAGGCAACGGTAAAAGTATATCAAATCGCAACTTGGGCTCTCACGTTTTCTGTGCTTGAAGCCGGTTGAGGGTGTTCATTCTGAGCTCTGATTGGCTTTTTATGGTATTTCCATTTTTCTGATTGATTTTTGTCTTAAAAGCCAATTGAAAGAATTGCGGTTCCTGCGGTTCTAACAGGTAACAAGTAGCTGGCGATCAGGCCTTCATGACTAGCGCTTCTGGACGAGGGTTTCATCGCACGCGGGAAAATTTGAGGTCTTGAGCAACGCGAGTCGAGTAGAGGTCTGTAAAGGGTCTGGAACCGATAGTGAGGTGCCAGACCCCCAGCCAACCTCTCCCCGACTCGTCTTAAATCTTCCCGCGGGCGGATAAACGCGCGTCCTGCAACGCTGATAATGGGGGCTTGAAACAGTTGACAGAACTTGGCTAAAATGAATATCAGAGGAATTATGAATTAAACTTTGAGGATGGCCTTATTTCGAGCCTTGAGATAACACTCATTCATTCCTTCTTGGCTAAGAGTTCGCTGTGCTGTATTTCGACAAAAGCACTCACCACTTGGTATATGAGCTGTAAACAATGAGAGTTCTTTTTAATTGCTGTTGGTGTGTTCAGAGTTTTCTTCAGGCTCCGGGATCGAGTCACTCCCTCTGCAGCCGAACGGTGTCGCGAAAACATCTCATTCAAGTAAGTTCTACAAGTCAAACAACACAGTTGAAAATCAGCTTTCCGAGTGAAAGTATTGTGCTGGTGCTTGCACCTACAGCGAGCACGAGCTGGTATGTCATAAAACCTTCTAAAATTGCCGAAAAATAGTTAACCTCTCGAATTAAGAAAGAACAATATCCAAATAGTACGAATTAGAATTTATTAAGAGTTAATAGGCTACAAATTATCGCAGAGATGAAGTTTGATTTTGATCACTTTTTCAGACGTTTACAACGCTGGCAGGGCTATCCCGGTCATATGGATCGTGGTAGTAACAGCAACGTGCAAATTTCCTGTACCTTTGTAAAACATTAAATTCTCTTTTCCACCAGCCAATTTTGGAGAAGTGAATAAAGGGGGTAAATTTCTAAAGAAACTGTGGTGCTGCGTCGATGGGAGAGTAAAACAGGGTAATTTAGTATTATCAACTACGTTAATAACGTAAATTGGCCTTTCAGGACTTTCAAGCTTGAATATAAACGGAGATTCTGAGAACCAGGTGAAGTACTTACTTTGAGGATTCAGCCAGGATTGGATGGGCCTGCTTAACGGCAGCATGTTCCCTAGCGACTTTCAGCCAGCCCTGAGCATTGTAGAGTACAGGTAAGTTACCCTGGCAGTGGTTAATGTAGAATGTGTCTTTGAGCGACCCCTGTTTGACCCACGTGTCTTCTAAAGGAAACAAGAACCAGCTGTTAGAGCCCAGGCAATTCTTTCAGAACTGATGAACGGTTGGAGGAAAATAAACTTACTATCATTGCAGTGATGTACATAGAGCCGCGCCAAGAAACTGCTGTCATTTGCTCCCGGGAAGATTGATTCTTCGTCTAAGATCCATAACAAACCCTTCTGTTCACTTTTCAGGTCCAGGGTAGAACCTCGAGTCTTAAGAAAACACAAGCAAAGAAGAGCCTCAAAAAAATTTTACGAAGAATGCGTGGTGTTCATTAAGTGATATTTTAAGTAAAAGCAGATATCAGAATCACACAAGAGACACAGAAAGCGTGACATTTTTTCCCCAGTGAGACTTGAAAATCAGACATACCACACATGTACCTACTGTGAAAGATCTTCCGACATAATACAGAAATTCTTGAGCGACCTTGTATGCGAAAGAGTTTAAAGTGAATTTGCAGCCGTTCGTGTGCATGTCACAAAACGCTTGCGTGAAATCCTAAACAACATTGACCACTTAAGCGTTGGCCGGCATGGTTGGACGTGAAAAAGAAGCGGCAATAGCGTCCGAATTCCAAGTATCGCACTCTTCAAGCGCTACGGGACGCTAAAAAGAAACTTCTGAGGTTCGATGGCTCCTTTGTATTAACAACAACGAGGAAAGAAAAGAACTGAAATGCTAAATTACATATAGGGCAACTGAAATATGATGTGCATTATGTACATACCACTCCTTGAGCAGCTCTATCAAAGACGGACACCACAGGATCAGGAGAGCTTGCCACACTTTCATAACTACAATCTATGTTTTCCTGTAAAGTCAAATTTGATTGGTAAACATCTGTTATGTGAATACAAATGGGTTTTTTTAGACGGAAGACTGTACAGTACATATCCTACATGACTGTGATTACTAGTATTTTTATTTTGGTTTTGAGACGCCTTATTAAGCATTCTGTTATGTAAAATAAATAAGTACCTGTGAGTATCGTTCCATCTGAGTACTGAACACTGTGTCGTGGAAGAACTTTTGAAGCCTCTCATACTCGTAGTTATGGCACAAGTCATCAAACAGTGCACCATCGGTCTTGCCGACTGATGCCGGGTTCTGGAAACCTGGCGGGTCCAGCACGTGCATTGATGTCACAGTTCGAACGTTACATTGAAGCGATCTGACAGAGAAAGATGATTAAAGAGTCGTTCTAGTCTGTTTGTCGTTTTGATCCCGTATTGGATGAAACACAGCGGTCAAACATCTGCGCATGTGCGGACTTTGTATTGAGTAGGTGACGTGCTTTTAGGGTTTCACAACCAAGTTGTCTCACACGAGTTACAAAAAAACCACACAACTCAGTAAGCGTGTAACTTTTTTTATAACAGAAAGGTAAATAAACAGGATGCGCTTACTTGAATTAGCTTGGTGTTCGACAAGACTCGAATTTTACCTCCCTAATTTTGGTTTCTTTAACAGATTCTATTAACGTTTCAACTTTCTTTCGCATACTTTGCGAGATAGCAGTTGTTTTGTACGTTTTGCGTTTTCCTTTGAAATTTTGCGCGGGAAAAATTGGCGTGCGGCAGGCCAGAATTGATCCCCTCGCGCATGCCTGACATTTGGACTGCTGTGTTTCATTTGGTAAGGTATCCACTCTTTCCGCTGATCAACCCTCGCATAAACCTGAACTGAAAAACCCCACCCCTTAATAGTCTGCCTTCACTCTCGTCTCCATACATCAGTGTTAGATCTATTTTGCATTCAGGGATTATTTGCAACAGATACACTTTACTCGTTTATATTTCCTTTACCTGTTGATGAATCTAATCAAGGCAGCAAACGCTTCCTGGTAGAGTCCCATGGCAAACCCTTCCAACGCCTCGATGTACTGAATCGCTGTAGATCTAGCTTGCCTCTCAGGAGTATTATCAGCAGAACTGGACGGACTCAGATCATTTCTGGACTGGCTTTGGCGCCGCATCCTTACGGTGAACTGATTGACAATTGGAGGAGCGAAGATGATCTCAGTGATGTCCTCCTTGGTGGTACCAAGGACACTCGCAGCTCTTTGTACTGCTGCTGGGTTGGCGAAGTGGGGTTTGTTATCTGCACCTGCAGAGATGTAATCAGAGCGTCTTAGAAAAAATCTTGGAAAGCCATAAGGAAGTCAGTAACCACGAATATGTATTTGTTTGTACAAGCAAACTACCATTGAATACAGATTGGTTGATAGACGGATCGACTCACAACCTGACAGACTGTTGGACAAACTGAAAGACTGACTGACTATCAGACAAACTGAAAGACTGACTGACTGACTGTCGGACAAACAGAGAGACTGACAGACAAACTGACTGACTAACTAACATACTGACTGACTGGCTCCCTGCTTGAGTTACTGACCAACTGATCTAACACACAAACTGCTGCCTACCCAAATTCATATTGCTTTAACCTCTAACAAGTTCACAAAACATTCTGAGGTGAAACACAGCAGACATAAACAATTATGTTTTACAATGGGCTACATTTCCAATGGATCCGTAGGCTCCAAACGTAATTGAACGATGCACTTACCAACTGCAATCCCTGCGCATCCCAGGTGACAGATTGCAGCCAAGATAGCCCAAATGCCTTTTGCTTCTTCCTCAGAGATACCCAGCATCTGCAGAGCAAACTCAATCTCTGTCCACTTATCAGAGAGCATCTGATCATCTGATGACTGTAGAAAAAGGCGCCTTCAATAAGTACAAGACTTTTTAAAACATCTGCTTCACCAGATAAGAGTCACTATCATGCTATGACTGCTACAAAACATCGGGCAATGAGCACAGGTGGATTGTCGATGATTCATTCTTAAACCGACAATTACCACACAGTTAACGTTTATCTCATGATGTGGTCACTTCCAATGCTAATCATGACATAACAACTGCTGGTCTTTGTCAGGCGATGAGGTCAAGTGCTTCACCTTACAAATACAACATGCTCTACTGTGATACATTTGTTTTCAAAAGGTCTATTTATTGATTAAGATCAGACCATTTCGACAGCTATCTCTCAAACAAGAGGCTCTGCATATATAAAAGCATTGAAAGAGTAATAAAAGTAACTCATGTCTCACTCTACCTTGGGATCAAATGTTTGCATAAAGTCATTCGTTTCACTCATTTTTGCTTCCAGCTGTAGTTCCTTTCTGTTAAAAGCAATCACATAAATTTTTTTAATACTGTTGAAAATGATTGGAAATTGGGAAAAATAATTGGCTATCAACATGAATTTCCCGGCTCAAAATTTCTGTTTAATCTCTCAAATGGCTCAGCTATAGCTCTAGGTACCCACCTATCAAGTACAAATTTTCCTCAGAAAACATTTCCCATCATGCCCCTGATACACATGGCTAAAGCTGTGCTACTAAAGGGTATTGATACAACTTGTGTATGTATTCATGATTCAATATTACCCTTGTTTTTTCCCATCTTTTTGAGTAAAGTTATGGGTAAAAATGAGTTGGAAACAAAGAACCTTTCTCTGTCACTCGAAATATGCTTAGCATCAGTTACATGCTGTTTACCTCAGTTTTGGATCACATCCTGACACCAAATAGTGGAAGATTTTAAAAGTGCTCTCCTCCTCTGACTGCCTGACAACTTTGGACTTCTCTAAGAGAAATGCCTGGAACAACCAATAGTGACAAAGTTTGGTAAGGGACATTCCTAAGGTTGCTCCACACTCATCCAACATATAGAAGAGAGAACTACTCATTAACCCTTTACACCCTACCATCAGTATGAATATTCTCTACACTGTTCTTTCTACATTTCCTGGGGTGCTGACAAGGAGAACCTGTTTGCTAATCAAAAGGTTCTTTCCTTGGTGATCATTTCCTTCATTTTCATGATCTTAGTGTGAGATTCAGGGATAATATTGTTGGGAGAAATTAGATGCTAGTCACTCTTAGGGTTTAAAAGGTTAACTGGTGTGCATGAAAATGAACATTCAGCTTTTCATATATTACAATATAGTACAATATAGTACAATTTGCAGTTGATCTTAGTAGGAGCAAGATTTTTGCAGATCCACCAAGTGCACTGGACTACTGCTCCTTTGCTTTTGAACTTAACTTTCATTTGTACACAAGTAGATGTAAGACAAGTTTAACCACGAGCAGAACGTGTAGGAAAGGTAGTGAGCCTAACAAATGTAGACAGATTATTATGTCACACTGACCACTCCAAGGAGTGATTGAAATATCACTACTAAATAGTGTGTGCTTCTCAAAGGACCTTCTTTAAATCTACTTTGGTCCTTCTTTGCTAGATATTGTGCACATAGGGAAAACCCACTGTTTTACTTTTCAGCAGCTTTAATAACAGTGCCTTTTCTCACTAACCTGAACTGAAGCACTTGTCAAAAGCCCTGCTGTGTCAAAATCCATGTTGAACAACAGAGTGAACCTTGATGCATTGTGATTTAATGGGGTGGTCACATTGCCAAAGGCCTCCAGTAGAGCATAAATAGCTTCAAGCTTTTGGTCTAGAGAAGGGGATCAAAAGAAAGATTGTGTATGTGTGAGAACAGAAGCATTCTGTTGCCTTGGAGAGAAGGCACCAACAATCAGCTATTAATAATACCATTTCATCAAGGAACACTAGGCAATGTCTACATTGTATGTCCAATCAGGATTACATTAATTAAATAATATGTTTAATATAGTAAAGTATAATACAAAAATTGGACCACACTAACTTCTGTTGTTTAAGAGGTTACGCATTTCTACATCGTTGGTAAGTTTTATCCTCACTTTAAGAGTTCATTGCTACTTTTACATAATTATGAATTTATATGCACATGTACAAAAAAACTGGAAATATATGTTGGATAAAAGATATAGGAAAATCACAACATTCACACTGAGGCAAATATCTGCTTGAAGAGACCTTCAATAGAGGTATGGTTTCCATAAAAAAAATTAAAAGATAAACACTGCAAGGTAAAGTTCCATCCTTATAAAAAATTCCATTTCTTAAACCTCTCATTAGTCAGAAACAGACATTTTTTCGGGTGCCAGGGTCGAACCATATAAACACTGACCTAATCTAACATGACCTCTTAACCCTTTCACTTACAACAGGACCACTAAGTAATTTCTTCTTATGAAAGCACAACATTATCAAACAGAAAGGTGATGAGAGGAGAGAAAATTATAAACTGAAAGACCTAGTTTGATTTAACACTAAATTCTCAAACCTTCAATAACACAAAATGTGTGACAAAGACTAAGAAGAATTGATTTAAGGATCTTGGGAGTTGGGTGGATGGGTGGGAAGAGAGAGAACTTAATTTCACCTGTAAGTGCAGAGTGAGGAGAACTGGCTGCAGCTGCCAAATAATGCATGATGTGTCTGGCATTGACAGTCTTCCCTGAGCCGCTGTGTCCCATTAGTACAATTGACTGATCCATCCTTGTTGCCAACATGTTTCTATAAGCTGACTGTGCAGCAGCAAAGATGTGTGGTGGCATGTCTTCCTGTTTACAGCCACGGAACATCTGAATCACCTGTTTGAAATTCCACACACAGTTAGCAAGAGTGCTCAGACTGCATGTTCAGCAACTCAAGTTAGGTTTTTCTTTTCATTTTGTTCTCTTTGCTGTAGTTGCCATAGCTACATGTATGAAAATATACCAGATAAAAATAGGGAATTAAATGATCTGGGAGGTTACTTTATATTAACCATACTAGACTGATAGCCATGGAAAAAAAATTATCATTTTCAAACATTTTACATCTGTGGGGAAGCTTTCAAATTGAACAACTCCCTTTCATTTTCATCCAATATTTCTGGCATTGCTTTTCAAGGTTGTTCTTTGGTTTCTTCAACCAGTATGTGATTCACAACAGCTTCTTGTGTACAAAGTATTGACACCAGCATTTTGAACTTCCAAGGTTACTTTTTAACCCTTTAACTCCCATTACACCAAGAGAGAATTTCTCCTTGAAACATCTATACAATATCAACCAGATAAGTGATGAGAATAGAGAAAAATATCAATTAGGGGATAATCTGTTGATCCAATACTAAATTCTCTGAACTAGCATTATAAGAATTGTATAGTTGACAGTAAGGAGAATTACAAATTTAATCTGGGAGTTAAAGGGTTAAGAGCTCAATAGGGCATTTATAAAGCTTCTTGGGTACCTTGTCAGTATAAATGGCCAACTCCTGCTGGGGGTTAACAACTATCAAGTTGGGTCCAGCGTAGGTGTGAATAAGGTTACTGCCAAACCGTTGCCGTAAGGTGTGTAGGCAGCTTGATTCATTTAGGTAACGCAGGGAAGCAAGATCTTCTGCTCTGTCGTACTGAGGGGGATTTGCCTAAAGTGAATAAATAAATATAAATATTCTACTATGTAGTAGACTTTCTTCCAACATACATGTAATTGTCATTATGTTTACATTAGGCCAAAAAGAGGGTTATAACTGCTACCTATTCTACATTCTTCTAGCTATAACCACTTGGAGCAAGTGTCTGCCTTAACACTTAAACTCCTATGAGTGATCAAGACAGGATTTCTCTTTACTTAAAATATCTATACAATATCAACCAGCTAAGTGATGAGAATAAAGAAAAAGATCAATTTGAGGATAATTGGTTGATCCAATACTAAATTCTCTGAACTAACGTAATAAGAATTGTATGGTTGACAGTAAGGAGAATTACACATTTGATCTAGTAGTTAAAGACCTGTAGCTATTAAGACTCCCTGACCCAGTTGTTCAAATGGGAGGATAAAACTATCAAGTGGGTAAATCACTACCCAACCAAGAGGTGTTAACAAAATGTACTGCACTATCCATGGAATAGAGATTTATCCTTTTGATTAGGTTGTCCACCCTTAATATAACCCAGGCCTGCATAAAGCAAGAAACTATAGGTGCAAAGCATCTAGCCCGAGAACATAACACAATAATTCAGCTAGGGCACAACACAACTATGTGACTATGTCTTCCATGCCTCCAGTAGCAATGAGCCTGATAAAAAAGCTGAGGTCACCCCCAAAAAAAAACAAATGAAAACTGTAAAAAAATAAACTAAACAAACCTTTTCAACACTATCCTCTTCAATAGAAATAATTTCACCACCATGATCCAACTTCACTTTACACATAGGGGTTTCATCTTCTTGCCTCTGCTCTTTAATCTTCTGTACTCTTCCACCGGAAAACCCTGCCTTGTGAACAACCCACACTTTCTCAGCATCTAACCAAGCTTTCTGTGAGTTCACCTCCTCCTCTGATTTGGGCTGGGAAGTAAAAAGAGATTAAAGTGGAGACATAAGAGAATTTTTTCGACTTAGAATCTACCAGTAGCCATAACATACGCTAATATTTCAATCCATTACATACATCAAATAACTCATCCAGGAAAACATATAAACATAACTTCCAAATTGAAACAAAACACCAAGATAAGAATCACTTTAAAAACTACCTCACTTTCTCAAGGTTATTACCCCATCTTTCTATTAGAAAAGGTATAAATAATGTGGTTCTACTACACATACATGTCTGTTGATAATGAAAAAAAAACCTCTCAAAATCCTAAATCATGTTCCAATCACATTAAGATAGCAATTACATTCAAGCAAACCTTAAATTTTAAGGGAGGTTCCATCACAAGATACTTAATAGTTCTGCATCTCAATTTCAGCATAGTAAACACCAAATCATTTAGAATCTATGAAATATTTATAGCCTTTCCACCTCCTGCTTCACTATTATGCAAACAGAAGCTGTCACAAGCAAAGCTATTGGATGTAATTCTTCCTAATACAAATCCATGATAAGATACTTAAGTAAAAGAATGTAAGAATTAATGCAATTAACAGTAATTGAGAAGGTTTATTGTATATCCTTAATACCCTTATTCTGATTTCTTGAAATATTTTCAACAAAAAGTTGTGTCATAGCAAACATCACTCCCGAATTACCTAAATTATCATAATTAACACTTAGCATGTATCAAATCAAACAGTGGGGTTTTCCATTTTAATCCACTCAGCCTTAAGGGATGCACACAAGAAAAAAGCAATTAATTCCTTAACTTGATCAAACTCACTTTCTTTCAAACAATAGACACCTTGTAAAATTACTATATCTTAAGAATGTTGACAAAAACAACAGAGAGCAATTTGAGAGCAGCAGCAAAAAAATTGGAACAAAATTTCCTCTGGATTAGTTGGTTAAAGTAATTTTAAGATAGCAAAGTAAAATTCGAAAACCCAAATTGGCCCAAAAGAATATTCATGCTGTGACATTCCTAGCAGAACTCCTGTAAACAGAGACTTAATATATTTCTTGGCGATCTGAATCTTGTACTGGGCAATATCCATGTTTTGACAAGGCCGTGTTTATTCCATGTCAAAGTGGTATGTTTTTAAAACAGGGAACAAAGCTCACGGACTTAATTTCACGTGATTCTTTGTCAAATGAAGGAAGTCCTATACATTTTACACTATGCAGTAATTAACTCTAATAAAATTTTAACAAGGAAACCTATTCTAATGCAAATTTGAACCACTGATGCATTGCAAACAGTGAAAATCAAACAAGATCAGAGGCGAATACCTCAAACTAAACAGAGCTTTACTAATACTATTTCAGGATGTGGTATTGGAATATCGACCGCTGGGATGTTTTGTCATAATAGTCAGAACATGCAAATTATCACATGGTTAAATTCCAAGCGATCAACGACCTTGGCATTCAGAAATACAGTTGACAGGAATATCAACAGAGCGTAGGCAACAAAGTACACAAATGAAGGCTATAACATATTTACCTCAGAACTCCATTAGTACATTCTATTATCAGCAATTTTACTTGAACTAAATTAAAGAAATGTACTCACCTTCTTTTTAATTCTTTTGCTTCCACTCCGAGCCAGAGTTCCGGCCTTGAGATTCGACTCGTCAAGTTGAACAGTCGATCCATCCAAACCACTTCTCACGCTCAATTCTGAAAGTTCCGGTACTGGGATAACTTTAATAACGACCTCTTCTCCCGACATAACAATCATCTCGATAATCTTCTCTCTCGGTTCATTTTCAACGTTGATTCCATTGACTTCTACGAGTCGATCTCCTGGTAGCAAACCCGGTGTGCTATTTGGGCCAACGGGTTCCACAAAGTGAACAGTTTTTCCGGTTCCAGGGGCATTAGCTCTCCTCAGAGCAAACCCAAAATCACCGCTAGAGCGCCTTTTTAATTTTATCACCCTTGCAATACCAGAAATGGCTGGCTTCACTTCCGGTAGCTGCAAATCGACCCCCATTTCCTCCAAAGTTTTATCAGTAGGAGACAGAATCGACGGCGAGGAAACGTTCAGATCTCTTGGTGGCAAAACAATTTTCGGATCGCTTGGTGGACCGGCGAAAGACTGCACAGAGCTTGTAGCAGTGATAGGTCGATCAACTTCCATGGATCGTTGAGAATTAGCCTTGTTTCGATCGTTTTCGGAACCAACATTGATCAGCTTGACTTCGAACTCAACCACACCAGCGCGATCCGCTAAAATACGCGGAGGTTTAGGTGGAGCGCTATCGGTCAAAACATGCTTATCGTTCATCGACGAAGCAGATATACCTTCATCAGAAGACTTCGCATTAATTGAAGAATTGCCATTAACTTCGGCTCTGTGGTTTCGTCCCTCCTCCTCGTTCGTTGTCTTTTCTCGATCTTGAGACTCGTAACTCTGCCGGTTCGGACTTTGCAACTTGATTTCAATACTCGAGCTCTTCTTTCTCTTCACTCGTGGTTTCGGGACAGGTTTCCCGACTTCCGAAACTTCTTGCTTTTCATCGTCTACATGTCTACGATTTGCTTGTGGAACCGCTTCGGAAAAAACTGCGTTAGATGAAACATTAGTAGAAGATCCGTACAAATATGGAGAAGGAATGGCCGAACCGCTAGTTGTACTACCAGTTGTATCGGTGCTACTCGAACGACCTTTCCTGCCATACAAATCAAGATGCTCAGTTCCAGGCGATGGATTTCTTTGGTCATAATCGTGCTCAACATCGTACCTTCGTTTATCCTGTTTTCTAAAACTAAATCGCCCTCGTCTCTCCTCCTCAGAGCCAGCAACTATGTTCCCCAGTTCGCCATGAGCTTTGCGATCAGTTTTGTTTTTGTTATCCTTCTCTTTTTTTCTCCTTTCCTTTCGTTCTTCTTTCGTCTCGATAACTTTTTCCCTATCCTTGTCCTTCTTCTTGAAGGAAAACATGGCGATAGTTTATTGCTAGCGAACCAACTTTAGTTTTGTCTTAGAGACAACTGGTAGACAAGTACTTAACACGAATGGCCGCCAAATTTTTAATTCATAAATCCGGGGATTGCAAAATCTTATCACGTGATCAAAATGTTTTGGTCATTGCGTTACGTAATTTTGTCACGAACTAATGGAATGTAGCCAACCATTGCGGTGACTGCCAAAGGTAACTGCCAATATTTGTGAAAATGAGAAGGCCAAAAGAGTAAGACGTCATGCATATACATTAAGGTGATCACTAATCAGTTATTTCTTTAAGATTGCGTGCGTTTTCATGAAAACGTGGTGTAAGTTTCGGTCACGCACAACCAACGGAGGTTTATGAAAAAAGACATGATCGAGAATGGCACTCGTGATTAATGATGCATCACAAGTATTTTAACAAGACTACAAAATGACGTATCGAACGTATTTAAATGTTCGATTCCTTAGCAGTGCTTTTTAAGAGGGCTTATATAATCAAATTAACAAATAAATTGCGTGTTTCCCTGCGCCTGTTCAGTAATACATTACAGATGACGTAAAAAAAACATCAGTGACACACTCGGCTGCGCCTCATGTGCCGCTTTTTTGTTCTTACCACATTTTGAAGTGTTATTAGACAACATGGAATCTATTTGTTTTCTACAACAAAGAAGCGAAAAAGTTTGTCAGTGGTGACGTAATCTATGCTTCTATCCTCCAATAGATAATAGGAAAGAACCAATCAAAAATGCGTGCGAAATTCAAAAGTAAAATACACGATACACGATCACAAATTACTCACTGTGAGCAACCTTATATTTAATCAACGCTTTTTAACTGATCGATGATCAAAACCTAATATAGCTGGAAAGTGGTTAAATGAAAAAGAACCTCTACTAAAATTAGCAGAAGATGAAATGCATGATCAGCAAAAAGGCAAGACTCTAAAGTTACGTGGTATTTGTTGTTCACAACTTAAACTCTACCAGGCCAGTTCAAAGATTGTCCGTCGCATCTCCATAGCATGATCATCGCCATTATTCCCTTGTAAAAACTAGCAATATTTTGAAATAATTACACAGCCGGTAGCGCTCGTGTGCAACATGAAACGAATACTGTATTCTGATTGGCTTCCCGAGCGGGTAAGATGGGCCCATCTTGCCCGCTTGGGATTACCCGCCCTCATCCCGCACAAGTCAAAAATTTGCGGGCAACGGACTTGAGAAAGTTCGCAATATTTAGACAACGTTGGCGATGAAATCGTAAAAAGTGACAGAAGAAAGTCAAAACAAAGGAAACACGCACGGCTCTCGTGAGTTTATTGTGCTACAAACACAATCGGCTTTCTCTTCCGGTTCTCGAAATAAACATGTCATTCTTGATTCTTACTATATCGAAATCGTTTTTCTCTATGACTCTTTTATTGAATTCTCTGTTCATAAAAAACCCATGAACAGAACTCGGCCAACGTGCAACCATCTCGACCTCACGCTTGGTCAATAGCGCATATGTATTTCCCTCATAATTAAGGTTAAATTTTCTCAGCTAACCGGTGTATTAACCGGTACGTTTCGTGAACACTACTCCAGCGGATAGCGATTTATCTAACGGAAAACATTATCCATCCGCTGAATAGCTGGACCTAGGTGTATAGGCCCAGGTTAACTACTCAGTTCGAGCAAAGTTCCTTCTCTCGATCTCGCGCGAAGATTTGAAAACCTCATAATAAGTCAAACGACGTATTTTCTCATACTCAGAACCTTATCATACGTAACAAAAAGCGATGACAATATCAAGATATATCTCACACAGTTAACATTGGAGGGCAAATAATTTAATTCCTCACTTGTAAATATGGGAATTGCTTAAACTTAAATCGATTTCCTCTATATTTTTCTTTCTCTGTCATAGTACTTTTGAGGAAAATACAAATAATCGTATCGGCGTTCTACATTTATCAAAATGTACATAAGTCTGCGCAAGGGTCGCAATGAATGTTCCACAAGAAAATTTTCTACAGCAAAATTGGATAATAATTGCAAATGGTACGCGAAATCCGCAGAAACGGGGTCAATGTGCTGAAATTAACTCTGTGCTAGAGTCAAAAGGCCTTTAAATGGCAAGAATTTAAAATACAACGCCGCGGGGAAAAAAACCAGTTTGGTCTGTTGCTTATTCACATATGCCCTTCATATTCGTTTTTGTAAATCTTTCAGCGTGTCTGTATGGCTACAAAGTGATAGCAGTCGGGTCAACCCGATCTCACAGCTTAGTAATCTCTCCGTCACGGTAGCACGTAATAGGAAGTTAACCTTTACACTTAAAAGAGGACCCGTCCGAGAAATCTTTGAAATACTAACGGGAAATAAGTAGGACTTGTAAACTTCCTGGAGAGACGTATTACTAACGAAAAGGAAACTGCTTTCCCCGACCCAAGTGCTTAGTAACTTTGTAAAACTATCATAAACAGCAACAAAATATCTACCTTCGTCTTCTGTGGCGTTCCCAAATATGTGTCAATTATGTAAAGGAACAAGGAAATTTCTGAAAGTTTCTGAATAAATGCCAACCACTGGTGAGCTTAGATTACCCTCATCTACTAACGACAATTTCTCTCCTAAAAGATTAACGATTCTGGTTTTTGAAGGGCCAACCCTTGATCAAAAGTCGTATCGACATTACTTCTGAGCAAGGGCTGGCGTTTCCGGCTTTATCAAGTCATAAATAACAAGAATATGAATTATAATCTTCCACTTGTCTAAAAGATCAGCCAAACATGTTCATGATACGCTTAATATCTCGTTTTCCAAACTATAGTCATACTATATGAGTGAATTCAGTGACTACCTCTGATCATCGATTAGTAGACAAGTAAAAGAGTATGACGGCGTTTCCCGCATCAGCAGTCGCTATGTTACATGAATAAACCTAACTTAAACTGACAAATTTTATATCATACGTAGTCTTGGAGCCACAACGAAACAGGCCCCGACCCCACCCCACTGCATTTTATGTACATCGTGTAGCTTATGGTCTGCCTTCCGGAGCAGCAGCCAATAGAATTTCCGATGCAGTTCGCGCGTGCTCAGCAGCGACCACATCACCAGGACTTCTGCTTCGCGGTCCCAAGCCAGGCAGTGTTAGTCCCAGCATTCCACGTGGAGGAAGAAATCCCGGCATGGCTGGCGGGTGTGTAACTGCTGACATGGCGGAACCACCGAGGTACGGGTTCGCCAAGGACCCTCCATGTGCAAAGAGAGAGGGAGGGGCAATGTGAGGATGAGCGTGGCTGTGGGGAAGGGAATACGGGTGGGGATGAGCATGAGGTGGGGGGTATAGACCGATACGGTGCGGCACCGGAGGGCGTACTGCAAAACGAGCAAGGTCGAATGGTTCGCGAGGTCTGTCTCTGTCCTCGTAAATACTCCGTTTGTCCATAAAACTCAAGACGCCATGTGAATGGCCACCACTATGTCTGTCACTTGACAGAATAACAAGATCGTGATCCTCAGAAGATCTTCTGTCACCAGGTAATTTGGGCTCTTCCCTCCTACCACTTGAAAGAACACTGCTGACTGTGGCAGAGGTCGATAAGCTTCGCTCGCGCTCGAACGAGCTGCGCATTTCCTGCGCAGAAGACGTTTCCGGTTTAGGTTCTGTGCTTGTCAGACTGGCGATGTTAAAACCAGTCGAGTGAGAATGTCTGATCGGCGATCTTCGTCCTTCAACGGGCTTATCTCTGTCTCGAAGCCTTTGGCTACTATCGCCTTCCTCGTCAGAGACACGAAGTGATGCACGCTCCCTCTCCTGGATTTTTCCTGCCAGGAGGTTTCCTCTGTCCCTTGCATCGGGTATCCCTCTCTCCTTATCTCTATCTTGATCTCGATCGCTACTACGGTCACGTTCACGGTCACGTTCACGTTCGCGTTCGCGTTCTCGATCACGTTCCCGCTCTCTTTCACGCTCATTTTCTCTTTCTTTTTCTCGTTCCGTCTCACGGCTCAGCCAGGAATGATAGGATGCTGGACTGCTTGACATACGATTCCACTCGGGTTTCACTCCATGAACACTGCTGAAGCTAGAACCCAGGCCTAGTGAGCTGCCCAGTCCGCTGAAACTACTGTTCCCGATGCTTCGAAAAGGACTGGAAATAGATGCACCGAGACCCGATCTCAATCCCCCAACGGGACTACCGCCAAGTCCCATAATAGCAGGCGGGGCCGCCGGAATGCCTACGGATCCCCCACTGAGGTGCGCGATACCATGGTTGGTACTGTGGGCTGTAGGAATGGGAGTTCCTGTCAGAAATGGACCAGCAGCTGCAGAGGAACAGAAGTGAAGAGTAAAGGAAGGTAAGTCATATGAAATGGAGTTAAAGCTACTCACGAAGAGTTCGAATGAAAATCACCTCATCACCGAAAAAGAAGGACCGCTCTCTGAACAGGGTGCTTTCGATTCAGCCGATGTTGACGTTTGTAGAAGCAACTACAAAGTGACGTGTCAACTGTAATTCAATTTGACTAGTGTAATTGTATTGTAATATATGTATTGTAAGTAGTGCAAGTTAATGTAGTGTAAACATCGTGTAAGTATAGTGTAAGTACATATGTAAGTATAATATATAGGGGAAAAAAAAGTAAAAAAAAAAAAAAAAAGGGAAAAAAAAACTACAAGTGCCGTGTTATATTAACATTTAAATCCAGTGAAAAGAGAAGAGTAAAGGGGACGACAAGAGTAAATAATACATACCAGCAGGAATGGCAGGTGTAGCGACTGGACTAACGGCTCCTGGACCATGGACGTGATACGGCGGCGCTTCATGATTGCTGGGGCGCGAGTGCAACGAGAGGCAAGTGCCTGATCTACTGATGGGCACTTGGTCTGGTTTAACATGAGGGTCTTTGTGCAACTCTGCCTGAACCTGAGAAAAGCGAAAAAGGAAAATGAGATTAAAGAGACTGACCAGATTTAAGTGGCAACAATGTTGACCCCAGTCCACAGTTTTCATGTACCAAACAACAGTCGTCGATGACACGACGCGGGAAGGTCACGATAAACTCAGTGTGACACAGGGAAATGTTTGTGAAGATCCTC